ACCGTCCAAAGTTCATCACATGGTCACGATTGTCTAGTTGTATTTCATTTTTCATTTTGTTTTTACAAATCGGAATAACTTAAAATTTAGAGCGTGTGTTCATTAAAAATAGGTGAATCTATAAAAAATATCAAAAAAATATTTTACATGAAAAATATTGATCAAAATACCCCCGAAAAGTTTTGGGGGTATTTTAGTCCTTTTTTTTTGTGAATTATTATTTTTATGTCAGGTGCGTCTCACTAAGATGTACGCACGTTTCAAATTTCAGATTATTTTGATTTGTAGAAAAAAAAAAATTAAACACTACCGAATAATCGTGACTATGCGATAAAATTTAGACACTGATGAAGATAAGCGAAATTACTATTCATTTTTGTCTATAGGCATTGGGAAGATTTTTTCTATATATATATATATAGAAAAGTGTTACCGTTAGATCGATCCAAATTTAATCTGGACCATTGGATTTATATGAACACATATGTTCATGTGAGCTAATAGGCTGATACCAACATTTTCCTATATATATATATATATATGTATATATATTGCACTACGCATATACACTACACTCCTACACGGGAATGATGGGAAAAACAGTTTCTTTTCTTATTCAATGCATCTCTTTCACTTAACCCCCAAGAGGTTTTACACGATCAAAGCCACAATACTGAATTCATTAATAGAGGGTCTAAAATTCATATTGAGGTTGGTTAGCATCATAATGATCAACCCAATGGGCCTAAAGAACGGGCTCAAATCTAAGTGGTCAGAATGGTGAGCCACCACAACATCAATATACTCGTGTACCAACTCACTTGAAATGTGGGACAAAAACAAACTGGGGTCGTGGCCCTTTATCTTAGTCGTATAGCCAACTCGTCGTACTCTCCAATCTCACTGACAACTTGAAAAACCTAAACATCTAAAAAGGCTCACATTCCCCACAAAAACCACCCATAACTTAAAAAAATCAAACCATTTAAAGAAGCCTACATTCCCCACAAAATTACCTAAAAACCAAAATGCAAGAAAACTCTCTTTAACTATACCCATTATCACAAATAGTGTTAGAAAAACCTGGCGGTCAAAATTAGAATCCGCCGATTAGATCGAAATCGAAAAGGTTTCTAGTCCGGTTAGGGCCGGTTTTAGGTCTCTAGTACCTTAGGGTACGCCCTCACAAATTTTTCGGCCCAAAACTAGGCGATTAGAGGTCGAACCGGCAATTTTTTAGTCAAATCAATCGGTTTTATGCGAACCGAATCGATTAGACAACATAACGGATGTTTTTACAAAATAACGTTAATGTACCTGTTACGGCCGTTATTTTAAAATCAGAACCGTTATTTGTAGCCGGCATTCTTGAATCCAAATTTTCACTTTTTTTTATTCGTTTTCATGCCCTTTTTTTTGTGTCTTTTTTTGTGATATATTGCCGTAAAAACTATCTAGAATCTATAAAACAAGAAATTTGGATTGAAACATCAAAAAAAAAAAGAATTTCTTGGATTGAAATGATGGATTTTTTAAGTTTTTGAAATTTCCGTCATTCTTTCAATAATTTTTTCAATACCTGATGGTTCTTGACGGGTTCAATAGATAATCGAATTATTTATCAGATTTATGTTTCAATTTGTTTAAAAACTCAAAAATTTTGGGTTGATTTTGACCCAAAAAACTGCTGCTCAAAGAACCTGTGTTCGATCCAAAAACACAAATTTTTGATCAATCTATTGAACGTTTTTTATCAAATTGAGTTGTGAATTTTGATCATCAAGGTTTAATCTCTCAAATAAAATAGGTATGTCTATTTACGATTGATTAAATGTTTTTATATGAAATTTTTTGTTGCACCATATTATGAAAATTTCATATCTGAAATTTCTACCATTTTTTCAATTAAATTAAAAATACCAAATATTTTTTTAAGAGATTTGGTGTGTTTAAAAGATGATCGAAGCCTATACACTGCATTTATATTGATTTGTTCGTTATCCAAACATTGGAAGTTTTTTGTTTGTTCGAAATGTTGCTCAATTTAAAGGGTCCTTGAAAAATCGATTTTTTAAAAAATATATTTTATTTATTAAAATTATGTTTTTTTTTATGAATATAGAAAATGTTTTTCTATTTTACTTAATAAAATTTAAAATTATGATTTTTTAATAAAATTATGTGTTTTGAACTTTTGATTAATATGAGAAGTGTTTCTCTATTTTGCTGGATAAAATTATTTTTTTGATAAAATTGATTCTTCTTTTTAATAAATACATGATAATGTTGTTCGATCTTTTCCTCGATTTTTTTTAATTATATTTTTTTAAGTGCATAATATAATCATATTTATAATAATAAAAATAAAACATTTTATTTTTCTAAGTGCATGTAAAAATTTTGACTACATCATCGTCACTACATCATCGTCTTGTATGGGTTGGGTTCTTCTCTTTTTTTTCCTTTTTTCTTTTTCAATTTCTATCCAGGTTTTTGAATCGGGGAAAGAGTCCTTAAAAGATAAGCCGATTTTAAAAAAATCTACCGACTGAGTCAGAATATATTTTAATCCTAATTATTAAAAAATATATAATCTTAACGTGGAGATCATCGATATGAACAAAAAAAAGTAATTAATTAATTAATCAATTAATTTAAGAAAACATTTGAACCCTTGATTACAATTATGTTTTAATGGACCACCTATTTGCATCCATGTTCAAGATGGATGCTTTATACCTCTGGAGCGCATGAACCAATTGCTCTTTGCTGATTAACAAAGTTAGAACTACACTTTCACTCCAAAATTATTTAACATTTCATATGAGAGAGAGAACAAAGAAAGAGAACCAACAAAACAGAGGAATTCTCCACAAGAAGTATGATATCTGAGCTTCAAATTCCCTTCTCATTATGCCCCCAAGAAGCTCAAAACCTCCAAAACCCACCTTTCATGGCTGCCAAAAAACCCCAAAAACCAAAACCCTAAAACCTCACTGAACATCAACATCCAGCACCTTGGACTGAACCTTAGCCTTAGGAATGCTTATATACAAAACCCCATCTCTTACCTCTGCCTTGATCTTCTCTATCTCTACATTTTCAGGCAAAGCAATCCTGCTGCTGTAGCGCCCATAGCTCTTAGCAGACCACCACTCTCCTCCTTTGCCATTGTCGCCCCCAGTGTTATCTTCTCTCTCTTCGAGCTTCTCGGCCTTGACAACAAGCATTCCTTCTTCGACGCAGACCTTGACATCTCTCTTGGTCATACCAGGCATGTCGAATCTCATCCTGAATTCTTCATCAGTTTCTTGGATGTCCCATGGTGTTCTTCCTCCCCTGTATCGAGGTTGTTCGAGAGATGGCCGAGAGATGGGAGAGTAGGCGAATGGTTCCTCCATTAATTGGTCCATGGTGTCCATCATCTGGCGCACGGTCCGAGCAGAAGGGAAGGTGTCCCATATACCTGTGGAAGGAAAAGAGACAAAATCTGGGGGTTCTTAGTTGCAGTTGGGGGAAGAGAGAAACAGTAGAATGCTAGAAGTGAATTGGATTGATGGTTATTGCCTTATTGGAATGAAATAATGGGGAAGCTCCCTCCCTCCCTCTACACTGTTAGGGGTTTTGGTTCTAACGGGGTCTGCCCTATGGTGTGAGCTGAGAGCATCTGTTCTGTCAATTGGGGTTTCCTGAGACTATCCATTTCTCTCTCTATTTGAGCAACCTGAGATAGTTTCTTTCTCTCTCTTGGGCAACCTGAAACTGTTTCTCTATGGGACTGTTTCTCTCTCTATTGGGGCAACCTGAGGCTGTTTTTCTTCCTCGTTTCTCTCTCTACTGGGGCAAGCTGAAACTCTTTCCGTATCTATAGTGGGTAAATCTCTCACACGCAATCTCTCTCTATTGGGCAGTTGCCTTACCTATGTTGGGGTTGGGTTGAGACAGTGTCCTCTTCTTAGGATGAGGGCTCTGAACCTTAGGAGGAGCCTTCTGCAAATGGTCCAAGCTATCCCTACCATCCGCCATTGCAGCAGGGATAAAGCTGCATCTCTTTGAGCTCCACTTGCTTCCTCCTCCATTGTTATCAGGAGTAGAGAGAGAAAATGGGCTTCTACCTGTGGACATAGGAAACCACAAACTTGATGCCATCCTTTCTACTCCTTCACAAGAATTCTAGAGAGAGAAAGAGGCGTGATTGTAATAAGGAATGGAGTGGGAGGTGGGAGTGGGGGTTAGAGAGAGAAAACTCAGTCGTGAATTCAAATGCAGTATACACAGGAAGAGAGAGAGAGAGAGAGAGAGAGAGAAGAGGACTGATCTACGGAGGTTAGAGAGAGAGAGCGTGCATAAATAAGTGGGTGGGAAGAATTTCGGGAAGGTGCTAGGAGGCGAGCGGGAGCTTCCAGAGACAGGATTCTAGACTCTTCGGTCACAGTATACACCCTCTATGCACAAGATATTCTCGGGCCTAGGCCTGGCCTGTCACAGTATACACCCTCTATGCACAGGAGATTCTGGAACGTTGTTGACCAACGGGTCGGGGCGGACAACAATCACACCTGAAAATAAACTCTGGGACCCAGATCCGACCGGGTTCAAGCCAAACCCAAACCTAGACCCGATTTGGACTTAACTTGGAAATCAATTTTTATATGTAATTTCAAAAATTAAAGGTAGGTACTACTTAGACTTGGGCCTAGACCCGTACGTGGACCAACCCCCGCATTCAACCGATCGGGCCAACCCGTAGACCTATACTCACTCGGACCATGGTTTGGGTCTACTTGTCGGGTCTCAGTACACGGGTGCCAATTGACAACACTACTTGCAAATGTAGTCCAGGGTCTTGCCACCACAGCCTGAGGGGAGGGCTGGGCTGGGCTGTGCTGGGCTTGGGTGAGGTCCGTAACAAACCCTTCTTATTATTATTCTTTTATTGACTTTTATTGTATCGCGGGTTCAGGCCCAGGGCTCGCCTGACCCAGCCGATTGCCGCACTACTGGAGCCCACTTCTCCCTCCTCTCTAAAAATGATCCTGACTACCACTGTTTTGTTTATTGTGAAAAGATTTCAGCCTCAGTGAGAGCATATTATTTCTAAAATATAATTATGTGAAAAAATGTGAAATGATGAGCGTATTGTGCATTTATGTTTAAGAAATTCACGAAAACACCAACCTAATTTCTGTTACTTGGAAAAGGATGTGGATTGTATAAGGTGGCAACCTTACTCATCAGTTATTATTGTTATTTTTTATATCGTCCAAATAAAATAGACAACTTTATATAAATTATACCCCTTGCAAAAAAAAAAAAAAGCCATTCCAAATTCATGCTCACATTTTATTATTATTATTATTATTCAAATTATTTTTACTGTAGATATTAAAGTTCTGAATTTTTTATTTTTTTATTTTGCTTGTAAATTACTTCAGATTTGAAGGTCCAAAGTATTTCCAAAAATCAACTCTGAACTTTCAAAGTCCGAAGTTAGTTTTGTTTTATATAAATCTCTCTCAATTCAAACTTTTTCTATAGATATTTTTAGCCACTAAAATATCTCTCAATTCAAACTTTTTCTGTGTGAGTTTTTCTAGATATTTTGGCCGCTAAATGCTAAAGGATGGAGCAATGATATTGTATCAAGGGAGAAATTAATTTCTTTAAGTTCTTAGAATCAACTTCAGATAAAAAAACCAACTTACTATCTTCAAGGTCCGAAGTTGATCTTTGAAAATAACTTTTAAACTTCAAGACCTAAAATAAGTTTATGAGCACAAAAAATTTCTAATCATAAAATTTATGTGCTTGAAAAAAATTTAACGTCACAGGATTGAACAATGAGCGTCCAATTTTTTGAGGGCAAGATCTAGATGTTGAACTCAAAATTCATTTATTTTGCTTGAAAAATAATTAGATTTGTACAATTTGAAGTTTAGAGAACTTCGGATTTTCAAATCTGAAGTTCTCACTGGAAGCTCTCTCTCTAACAAGCCACACACTTTGCTGGATGCATAGAGAACTGCGGATTTTACAATCCAAAGTCCATAGAACTTTTTCAAAACCCAAATTCCTCTCCGGAAGTTCTCTCTAACATACAAAGAGAACTTCGGATTTGAACTTTCGATGCAAAGTATTTTAAGCAGCATCAAAATAGCCCCTTCTAGCAAATTTTTGAGGTACATCTTAATTTGATTGTTTAGGGCCTCACCCTTATATAAACAAACTATTGCCCTTAAAAGATTGTAATCACGCTGCTTCATGGCACGCGTGAGCTATATTCAGTCTATTGCTATGAATATAGTTATAAAAAGGTTTAAGTTTTATTATTTAAAGGGTGTAGTTCATATAGAGCTGAGCCTCTAAACAATCAAAGTAGAGTATACCTTCAAATAGTATCGAAAAATATGGTTGTAATTCTGGAAATTTTTGTGATAGCGTTAAAATATATTTTTATCTTTAATTATGGAATTTAAAGCTTAAAAAGTAGTGTAGATAGAATAAATTTATGAAATCTTAAAAATTGGCGGTCCAAAAATGTATTACAAGATGTAAATTTTAAAATCCATTTTTTTCTCATGTCCATGCATCTTGATGTCGAGATGATCAACTTGAAGATATTAGGGCATCTTGATATGGGTCTTCTTCCTAACACCAAGGTCTTCTTCCTAACACCAAGTCAGCAACTCGGGCAATTGGATATCATCAAGTATGCAACTTTCTTCTATTAGCTAATACTTTTTTCTTTGTTTTTTTTGTTTTGGTTAGGGGGGGTGTCGGGTCAGTGAATTATCATCTGTGGAGCTGCTAAAAGTTATATCAATCAATAAGATGTCGACTATACCTATTTACTATTTGGCTAATTTCGTATCTCTTTTAAACATGCTCTAATTTGATTGTTTAGAGCCTCGGTTGCATATAAACTTTTTCCATAACTCCTCGTATAAAAGCCGATGTGACACTAAGGCCGTGCAATATTACACTTTTAGCGAGGGATGTAGTTTGAACTCATATGTACACATGCGGCCCTTTAAAATTCACGTTAAAGATGGACTTTTTATCCAAATTTTAGGGATTCGTCAAAACGTAAAAGTCCTTTTGTCATTTAATAAAAAACAATACTCTTCCATCGCGTTAAAACTTGCAGTGTCCTTGTAAAAGGCCGTGCAATATTACACTTTTAACGAGGGACGTAGTTTCTACGAGTGAGCCAACTCAATATACACATGCGGCCCCCTTTAAAATTGACCTTAAACTTGGATTTTTATCCAAATTTTAGGGATTCGTGATAAAGATGATCATCAATTTAAAAAAAATAAAATTTAAAAAATGTTTTTTAGAGTCTTTTTTACATCATCCATATTTGTTTTAGTCAGGTGGACTTCATACAACGTCCCCTGATTTATATTACACTCTTCTTGTAATGAGGGTTATTAGGATTGGATTTGCATTGATTTCAATCAAAACTAGCTGTACTGTGTCTAAACCATCTAAATAAAGCACACCTTCAACTAGTGTTGAGAAAAGTGGTTTCAATACTAAAAATCATTGTGAAAGTCTTAAATTTTATTTTCATTTTTAATTAAAAATTTTAAAATTTTAAAAAATAGTGTAGGTCGAACAAATCTATAAAAAATTAAAAATCTTGAAAATTGACGTTAAAAAACAATGTATTACAAGATATACTATTTTCAAAATTTGAAATCCATTTTTTTTTCAGGTCCATACATCTTGACGTCGAGATGATCAATTTGAGAATATTTGAGCATCAAAACAACATTTTATAGTGGAAATTTTAACGTGCACCCTAATTTGATGATTTAGTGCCTCACACTTATATAAGTTTATTCTTATAATAAATAAGGATAAAGTTTATATAGAGCCGAGATTCCAAACAATCAAATTAGAGCCCACCTCAAAACTTTTACTATAAGAGGTTGTTTTAATGCCCAAATATCCTCAAATTGATCATCTCGACATCAAGATGTATGTACATAAGAAAAAAAATGGATTTCACGTTTTTGGAAATAATGCATCTTGTAACGCATTTTTTGACCGTCAATTTTCAAGATTTTCAACTTTATATGATCTGCTCGATCTACACTATTTTTAGAACTTTAAATTTTATAATTAAAGATGAAAATATATTTTAAGACTATCACAAAGATTTTCAGTATTGAAACCACATATTTGAAAGTGCACTTTACTTTTATTGTTTAGAGCCTCGGCTTATGCAAATCCCAACCAATAAATAATAGTTTAAGACCATGTAACATTTTATAAATTTGGGTGCAGTTGGCATGCGGATGCATTCGTAGCTGTAGAGGTAAAGTGCACCCTCAAATTTTGTCGTGGTATATAATTTTGATGTAAAATGTTCTTAAGATTATCTCACAATCTATTTTTATATCTAATTATAAAATTATAAAATTAAAAAATAGTTAAAATCAAGTAGATCTATAAACATATGAAAAATATTGAAAATGGACGGTGTAGATAATATGTTGCAAAATGTACTATTTTTGTGACTTAAAATCTTTTTATTTTTCATGGTCATATATCTCGATGTCGAGATGATCAATCAAAAGGTTTTTCAAAGTTAAAACTACCTTTTTCTAATGGATTTTTGAGGTGCATCCGTAGTTATATATTATAAGGTTGCATCCTTATATGAACTTTTTCCTATAACTTTTTGCCCATTTATATATTAAAAGGGAAAGATTATATAGAGCCTAGGCTCTAAGTAATCAAATTAGAGCCTACCTCAAAATTTCCATCCGAAAACATTGTTTTTATGCCAAAATAGCCTCAAATTGATCATATGGACATCAATATGCATAAAATTGAGAAAAAAATGGATTTCAAGTTTTGAAAATAGTGCATCTTGCAACGTATTTTTGGACAATCAATTTTTAAGTTATTTAAGTTTTCATAGATCTGCTCGATCCACACTATTGTTGAAGCTTTAAATTTTAACTGGATTAGCTAATCAAAGAACGCGCTCTTGGAAGGAGGCCAGGATGCTAGCCTTGCTATTAAGAGGACCAACAGAAAAGATTACCATATATTTTAAGGCTAGTCAAATATTTTCAGTATTGAAACTACATTTATGGATGCTATTTGAAGGTGGGCTCTAATTTGATTGTTTAGAGCCTTGGCTCTATATAAATCCCACATCCCTCGGCTCTATATAAAGGGTGCAGTTTGTATAGAGCCTATGCTCTAAACAATTAAAATAAAGCCTACGTTCAAATAGTATCGATAAATGTTGTTTTAATATTGAAAATCTTTGTGATAATCTTAAAATATATTTTCATCTTTATTTACAAAGTTTAAAGCTTAAAAAACAGTGTAGATTGAGCACGTCTATGAAAAATTGAAAATCTTGAAAATTGACAGTCAAAAAATGCATTATAAAATACATTATTTTCAAAACTTGAAATCCATTTTTTTCTCATGTCCATACATCTTGATGTCAAGATGATCAATTTGAAGATGTTTGAGTACCAAAACAACCTTTTATAGTGAAATTTTTGAGCAAGGATCTAATTTCATTGTTTAGGCAAATTGGTCCAATGTTAACAAATGCATGCGCATGCCAAAAACATTATACTCCTGCGAGAGTATATCGTTGACTTACTCAATGGGATAAAATCTTATCTACAATTAATTTTAGGATCCTAAAGTTTAAAAGAAAAATTACAAAAAAAAATATTCTAAAATTGATTATCTATGCAACTTATCCCACTCTAATTTTTCCTCTCACTTTTTTTTCCAAAACAACATTTCTTCGCAAAAATTGGCCAAAGTAAGGAGTTGCAATTTTTTTTGGGATAGAAATGCCATTCATGTACAAACCAAATCAATTCGTAGGTCCAAGTATCGTACTACCGGAGCGCATATTTGCACTACCGGAGCATGTTTTTGCACTACCGGAGCGTGTTCTCATAATGCCTGAGCACTGTGGCTTAGACATGCATTGCCAGAGTGCACATTCAGAATGTTGGAGCACTTATTTATAGTGTCGAAGTACGATCCTCCAGGAGCGCTATGGCTCTAGAGACTTTATTGCCAGAGGGCGTCTTTACACTACCAGTGCGAGTTCTCATTATGCCGGAGCACTGCGGCTCAAATCTACGTTGCCGGAACGCACATTTAGAATTCCGATATGCAGTTCTCATAATGCCGGAGTGTTACGGCTCATACCTGCATTACTGGAACGCACATTCAGAATGTCGAAACGCGTGTTTGTACTGTAGGAGCACCTGTGAAAACATGCGAGAAAATAAACAAGGGTAGTTTAGTCTTACTTCATGCTACTTTTGGGTTGGGGTTCGAGAAAAAAAGTGAGAAAAGATTGGGGTGGGATAAGTGTCATAGATAGTCCATTTTAGGATGTTTTTTTTTTTTTGTAATTTTTCCAAGTTTAAATATGTAACCTCCTCAATTATAAATTAGCCTTAATAAAAAAATTTTCCTTATGGTACTTTTATGTGCTTAAAAAAAAAAAAACCTCAAAATTAAATGGAGATCTTCCAATTTTTAGAGGATGAGGTCAGAAAACCCTGAGTTTTAAATTTTTGTTTTAAAAATAGCCATCTAATAAATCATGGTGGTTCCTAAAATTTGAGACCGCGGGAAGAGATGTATGCTCACGCGGGAGCACAGTATAAGCGCTTCTATTTCTATATGCCCTGCGAATGGTTCAAGGAAAGCTGCATATTTGCGAGGTTCGCCATGGCGTAACTCATGCATGCACCATTTTTAGAGGGTTTCAGGGTTAGGGTTTTCGAAAACAATAGGGTTTCTTGGTCAATGTTTCAGAGGCATTGAACAATGAAGAGGAGATTACCGACCTGGAGTCGTGGAGGTTTTAACTAGTTTAGTATTTGGAATAATTTATTCTTCTGTTATGATTACATTGCATATTCTTGCACTATTTTTGTTTTTCTTGATTAATGGTTGATTGCTGTATGTTGATCGCATTCCCTTTCATATAAGAAACAATGGCTACTTCTGTGTTATGTTCTCTCGTGATTCTTGCAATTACTGGTGCCCTTGGTACTACTGTGCTTCCTTTTACTTTGCTTTTCTCTTTTTTTTGTTATTTATTTTTCTTTTATGGAACTGGTTTCTTGAATTGGAAGTAGTGGCTTTGCTCCTTGATTGTTTCCTTTTCTTTCTAAATCTTATTGAAATTATTTGATATTTTTTCCTTAATCATCGCATGTTTGTGAAATGTGCTTGTGCAATTGATCGGAAGGAAAAAAAGCGGCTGATTATTTTTTGAAAGAACCAAAATTACCTTTATCCTAGTGGTAACTCCAGATTGTTGTGACTTCAGCGATTTAAATAAAAAAAAAATGGATTGCTTATAATGCACGCATAATGGCTGCAATAAATTTGGCTAATTGAGTGGCACCTGTATTCCTCGGTGTTAAAAAATTTGTCAATGTTCACGTCAATTTTGAGTGTGACGTATGGGCTTTACTCCCCAGATGCCAATATTTTTGTTTTCACAACAGAGAACGTCATGAGAACCTATGTTGTTTATATGCTTATACAAACCAGAACCCAAATTTGATTCTTATTACTGGCCTTGTCGCTGTATCTTTCCACCTAGAGCATTTGTTTTGCCACATTTGATGTTGCTAGAGAACATCATTTGTGCTTCCAAAAATCGATTATTGTGATCCCAGTAAAAGAAAGTGACTGCTGTAGTGTCTTATATTCAACTGGAAGAATTAATGTAGCATAATGCGGTAATATATGCTTATATATGTAGTGGTCCAAATGTTTTAAAACGGATTGGATGGCTGGAATGAACAGGTGATACTAAAGAGTAAAATTCTCAAAAAGAAAATTAAGGTTTAAAATATGGGCCTTTAAAAAAAAAAAATTCAGGAAACTTAAAGGACCATCCATCTGTTATGGAGAAAGAAGGCTAGCTTGCTGTGCATCTTGAGAATGTGTGTGTTTAGAGAGCTTGGTCGAAGTCTTTTGAGAGAGACAGGCCATTTTTAGATTGAGACTCAAGGTGAGTGTTTTGTCTTTCCCTTTGTTTTTCCAAAGCATTTAAAGTGAAGTTTTGAATTATCCTGACTTTTAGTGATAACATTTACGGCAAAATCTTGAAAAAGGAGTTTCATAGGAGGGATATGTTTAGTAAAGTTTTTTTAAAGCAAATATTTTCCTCTCCTGGCTTTTGAAATAACCCTGGCTGAAAACCTATTATTCGTAGTTCTATTTTTAAAATTGTAAGGTCCCATTCCATTTTCAAAAGTTTGATTGGTCTTGCCTTTACCATCATTGCCATTTCTAATCATTTTGACATTCTATAGTACAATCTATCACATTTTGTTTATTGTGTCCCCTCATTTTTTGTTAGTATATGCCATTAAATAGCCGAATTTGTGGCTGTCTCAGGTGTTGGTTTATACGTAATTTTTGTGTTTCACCAGCTTTGATGTCATGCCTTTGTTTAGTTTGGTCTTATACAATTACTTAAGCAGTTTTTCCGTATATTTGGCAGCTGTGCTTTGGGTCGTTATTGTGATCGCGAAGATCTGAAAGACTTTGGAGCAGAGGTGCATAATGCACATTATTACAATGGACTCATAAATGTTCATGATTTTATCAAGAATGGGGTGAAGATCGATATAGACTTTCCTCTTGCATATGGAGAGACTGCAGAGTTTTCTAAACCTTCATACTCACCAGGACCTAGGATGGATGAGGATGGCGTTTGTGCTGAGATGCCCTTTGGTACCAAGGTAAAGGATGCTTGTTTATTCCATAACCTTCAGACTTATGATTGAACTGTTTTTCTACTGTTTCTGATATTATACTTTGAAGTCAACTGATAATATGATGAAGTAGACTAATAATCCAATGAACTATTGTGTACTTCAACTATATTGGCGTCGTCATCAGCATCTAATGAACTAACAGACAGTGATGGAAAGAGTGGGACCTGAAAGTGTTATAACCCCAATGCTGGGTCCTACACCTGATCCCAATCAGTTATGGTTTTCCAGAGCCATTATATTATACTTTCACCTCCTTCTATTATTGTTCTCAGCGTATTTTCTTTGTTTGTATTATCGGCATATTTTCTTCATTTTTATTATCGTTTATTAAGTATCTTTATTGGTCATTTACACTGTTCTCTTGTCGAGGCAGCGTAGACGCATTGCAGGCAATATCCAAGGAAATGAAGACTTTGAGAGTCTTCAAAGGATAACTCTCTGGGATACTTGCAGAAATCCCCGTGTTGATTCAGAGTCTAATGATAAGGAACTCCAGCATTGCCATACTGGGCATTTTATTCTAGGAGTTTCATGGGCACTAGCCGTGAAGGTGAAACCTCTTCTTATGTAAGAACAATGGTACTCTAATTGAGTTTATCTAGACTTTAAAGTAACTTATGTTGGTGGCAGCTTTTTTCTATTTGCTCCATACCCCTTTTGTTCATCGAAAATGATCCTAAAGGTGCAAATTTGTTTTTTCTGTTTTGTTATGCCAGTGCTAGTGGCTTGTGTTTTCCATTTATCATTCATTATGCTATGCCACTTAGGTGGCCAGGATTTGAGGGGTTTCTGAGTTTTTCTTTTTTTGTTTGTTTTGTTTTTTTGGCTGGGGGGGGGGTTTAAGAGGAGTGTTTGCAGAAATTAGTAAACGTTGACATTCATATTTTCTTGTTATCGCACTCTACTTGATCTTATGAATAAAATAGTGGATTAATAAACTCTTTCTGGGCATGAAAGAATACTATGATGACTGATTTGGGCGGGGCGATACTTTGTTGCAATCAAAGCAACAAATGTAGTAGGAATTATCATTTGACAACTATCAATTCAATTTTGCTTCCACTTCAATTTTTGGTGCTTTCTTCAGCTAAACCCTTTTGATGCTCAAATATGAGATCAGATACTTGAAAGCTGATTAGAAGATCAACTCTGAGAGTTTGTTTTAACTATCTTGAAATGGTTGGTGCATGTCAAGTAACTTAAAACTTCAGTGCCCTATTCTTGGATTATTACATAGATGCCTTAAATCACTCATGCACGTGCTTATTGGATGCTTGTGTCTCGTTATTCTTTAGTCTTTCCTACTCTCAATAGCTAATATTGACATCCTTTCTTTATTGCTATTTTTTCTTTGGGGATCCAATGTTCTGCTACTCATATTTTGAATTTTCATTTTGTAGGATAACCATCTACAGATTCGTAGGCTGGTGAGAAAATTTCAAGGATTCCATCTCTCTGATAAAACTCCTGATCAATCTCATTTTAGAGGACTGAATGAATCTTCATGGAATAGATCTCCTGATACCTCTAATATTCCTAAGGTTGTGGGGTCCACATATGCAGACAGTTCCACTCATGGTAAATCGATTGATATAACATTATAAATTCTTTCTTGACTGTGAGTGAACATAACAACTCACATATTTGGAACCGAAAGTCAATGTTTTAAAGCACAGCTTGGGCTCGGAACACGCTCCTTGGGTGGACTTGCCCTATTCCTACCAAAGCCTCCCAAAGAGCTCAAAAAAAGAAAAGAAGAGAAAATAGGGAATATTAAAATAACAGTTAAAATAAGAAAAAAACCAAAAGAAAAAAAAAACAATACAAAAAGTATATGAAAGATGTGAAAAAGGTTTTCAAAGTATAGCACAACGGAAAATTGGTCAACATGATTTTCTTAGAACTTTTGAGAAAAATGAAATAAATAGAAAAAGGAATAAAAATTTATAAAATCACAACTATTTCGTTTGAAACTAATTATATATCAATTCTAATTGATTTAGACAAAGATTGGTCAATTATAAATTAGCCATAATTAGTTACAAATAATATACACAACACACACAAACACACTCTCATCCTGAGTTGGGTGGTGTTCTGCGCTCGGCAACTTGCCAAGTCTGAGTGACTCACATGAGTCCAAATCGACATGCCTGAGTTTTTTTCACTGCTGAAAACTCAAGAGGCTTCTAAGTCAATAGTTGTGGTATATGAAAACCAAAGCATGTTGGCATTGGATGTTTACATTGGAGAGCGATCTACCATTTCAGGAAGCACTTTCGTTACCAATGTCACTGAAAAGACTAAATCAGATAAGAGCTTTCCCATTTCCAGTGTTGAGGGGAAAGGAAGAAGAGTTAATCAGAAAACCAGTGGAACAGATGGTGATTTTTGTCTTTCTAAATTTAAGTCGAGTAAGAGAATCAATTTGGCTGATGATGACTCTATGGCTCCCTTGGGTGAGATGAAAGGTAGAGTTAAGCAGCTAGTGAGTAAAAAGAATATGTTGATTGATGTTGACTATCAGTCATATCTAGACAAGAAGCGGGAAACTAGTAGCTTAGAAACTCTTTCATTGCCTTATGAGAAAAGAAAGACCGAAGGCTCCTTAGTTGATGATGATTACAAGTTATTCTTGGATAATGTAATAGAAAGTGGTGATTCCTATTATTTAAAAATAAATAATGGTAGGGGTCGTAAACCAAATGTTGTTAGGTATGAGAAAGATTTTGAGTCTCCACATGGCACTAAGAAAAAGAATTACCTGCAATTACAGGAAAAAATGCAGAAAAGGGGTCCTCTATTTAAGAAAAAGCAATTTTGTAAGATGACTGTTCTTCGATATGATAAAGGACGGGTGCCTCCAATGTGTAAAGGGAATGATAGTCTTACACAAACACATGAAACAAAAAGGAAAAGGATTCCCAGAGTTAAGAACAAGCAAGCAGCAGTGCCTCCCAAGAGTAAAGGGAAAGATACTCTCACACAATTACAGAAAACAAAGAAGAGGATTCCTGAAGTTAAGAACAAGCTAGCCCTGCTTCCTATTGATCTTCCTCAAAGACGAAGCCTAAGATTGCATTATGAAAATAAGATGAAAGCACCTTCAGGACCTTCTATTGGCACTTCTTTATCCTGTTTGGTTAGTAACAATTGGTGTGTTGATGATTTCTCAGTGGAAGAGTACACTATAATATAAACCATTTGGTCATCACTGCCTGTTGAAATGATGGAAGGTGATGGGGTGGGACTCACCAAAACAGGGCATGGCCTGGGTGGTGGGTGCCCCTTTATGTGTCACCTTTCATTGGTTTTAATGGATGTTGATGACCTAATGGACTATGTTTTTTTTGTCCATAGGTCACTGGATTATGGCGTACTTTCGGTCTATTTGCATTTTGAGCTTATTGCCTGATGTAATGTGCAAACATGCAGGTTCGGAAGGCCGATGAGGACATTACCAAGGGCCCATATGATTCTCTTTCCTTCAAGGGGAAACTGATGGTTGTACTCTCTAGGCCTTTTAACATGTCTGAGTTTAAACAATTATTGCATGAAGCATCTGATCGTAGGCCAATTGTGAGACAAAGAAATATACGAAATGGATCCAAATCCTATGAAACGGAGAAATTGGGTTTGTCTTATCTAGACCACTATAATGGTTAGTATTATTCGTATGATCTTTATTAGTAAGATTCTTCGGAGTTTGCACTATTATTGTCAATTTTATTATTTCTCAGTATCCTGGTCGATATAGTACCTGTTGCATAACCCTGTACCTATTTTTTGCCTTAGCAATAATATTTTGAATGTTGGGATAAAAATGTAACATTGTAAATGATTATAGGACGTACAATTATCACAACTAAAATATATATAAGGACATACTAGCCTAGAATTCTACTAATTCTTCCATGAGTATTTGCAAAATTGGTCACAATTTTTATAAGTATTGTTTTAATTGCAAGGTATGGTTTTATGACCATGCAATATCTGCATTTGAAGATCTTTTATTAGACCTTTATTAATCAAATGAAAATTCATTAAATCGAAGTAGACTGTGGAATTTATTGTGGCTGTTTCTTGAAGACTAAAGGACTTGGAATCAAGTAACAAATTATGTCATTCTCTGAATCGTTTGAAACTCTGTGGTTCTCCCATTGGAGTTGGAAAGAGGAGGATACGTACCTTGCTATTGATGTTATGGCACTCTCCATGCATTTGGATGAATCCTCCAAGTTATATCCTGGCTAGTTTCAAATAACATTCCAAGAAGGGCATTTTCTAAAGAAACTCTTTTGTGATGTCATCACTTTGAAGCTAAGTATTGAGCGCAATAGAAAAATAATTATAGAACACTCTTTGATTCGTTATGGAAACTTCATATCGTTGAAATATAGAGTTATATAAGAATTATTGATTTATGATTGAAGAAGCTATTCATGTGGACTTGTTTTAATTGTAATGAAGGAGATATATCATCTTTTAAACTTGGCTTCTTTCTTTTCCTAAAACAGTCCTTTTTTGATAACTTACAACCTTAAGCACACCATTGACTTGAGGTGTTGGAGAAAGTTTCTTATAAATTGCTGGGTCTTAGATGTTACAACTTGAACCTCTCGCACATCGATGCAACAGATGCAGTTAGCTTTTGAAGGACGTAACTTTTCACTTGGATGTCCGTTTGGGACGATCCATATCTTAAATCAAGGATCTCTTAGACATCTACGACACTTACCTCTATGATTTTCATAATTTGGTATTTGGTGTTTCAGGCTTCAATGAATTTTATTTTCCTTAGTAACATCCTAGATACTCTAGGGTAGGGGACTTTGGAAATCTTCTTGAAGATGAATCTTCTGGAAAGTTGATGTGCTCCATAGTTTGGAAAGTTGAGTTTTTAAAATTGGGAAAAAGACATTAGTCCCCCTCTCTGTATTTCTAGTTCCGAAAAAACCCTCAGGTCCACGAAAACCTGTGGACCTCCTTTAAAGTTTGAAAAATCGGACATTAAACCCCCTCTATTAATTTTACCCAATCCAGAAAACTAATACATCCCTGCTCATGGGACCAAGGTTTTTGGCTACGATAACATGAGTTCCTAGGGCCCCCTGTGTGCTTCTTAGTTGAGACATTGAACTATGAACCTCTAAACCTGAGATTGATGTCGGTGCAAAGCCATAGCCAGAGCTTGTGTATGAATCAATTCCTCTTCAACAGCCATTTTCCTTTGTGATCTCACTTTCTTGTTAGATATGATATTTCTGCGAACTTTTTTGGCATAGGCATATAAGTTGGTTACCCATTGAAATTCTCATTGAACTATGAACCTCTAAACCTGAGATTGACATCGGTGCAAAGCCATAGCCAGAGCTTGTGTATGAATTAATTCCTCTTCAACAGCCATCTTCCTTTGTGATCTCACTTTCTTATTAGATATAATATTTTTGCGAACTTTTTTGGCATATGCTTTTAAGTTGGTTCCCCATTGAAAACTCTTAGATTTATGGAGATTTATGGGGGGCATGATTCTTTATTTTGTTGAGTGCTGATATGCGGCAAAATTAAAGAACCCTAGGTCTAGGTACTTGCTTCTCCTTTATTGCATCATCTTTTTGTCCTCTTTCTTTGAAACTCTTTGAAGCCCACGTCCATCGAAGATCTACCTCACCAAATTCGTCTCCCTCTTTATCCTTTCAAAAGCAACCCTTCTAAAACCCTAATAAGGCCATCATCTGCCTCCAGGCCATCATCTGCCTCCAAAACTATCGTCCATTCTTGTACTCCTCAAGCCCTAAACTAGCCTAATCTTTTTTCTTCCAAACACTAGTACATTCTTCTTTCTTGGAAAATGTATACGCATATCCTCCTAAGGTTATGTTATTTAAGAAATCCCCAAATTTTCACATTATTCAATTTTTCCCCTTTTCTAAATGATGATTTTGCCCCTACTTCGGATTTTGAAAGTCCAAAGTTCAACCCATTTAATAAAACACTTGACAATGGTCTTGATGCTTGCTGGAGGCCAAGGCTTTCCTCAGAGAATTTTAGATTTTGCGGATCCAAAGTTTGTTGATCTTCGGATTCTCAACATCCGAAGTTCTCTTTGGAATCCAGCAAGCTCACCCAGGCTTGTTGGATGCCAAGGATTTCTTGAGAGAACTTCGGATTATGAGAATCCAAAGTTTTCCAAAGTTTTCTAGAACTTCAGATTCTCAAAATCCATGGTTCGCTAAGAAAAACCCTTCACCTCAAGGTGAAACATCTTTTTAAAAAGGTTCAATAACTTAGGATTGTCAAGTTCCAAAGTAAGGGTAGTTTGAAGAAGAAACAACAAAAAATTATGAAAATGGGTGTGAACGTGATATACACAATTTTTAGGGTCTTCTTTTAACAACGATAATTTAAAGGGATATCTTCGTAAATTACTCTTCTATTTATAATGAAATATTTGACAACACTAACACATTCTTTCCTCATATCTCTCCTGCAAATTAGTCATTAAAACCCGAATCAAACCCCTCATCTCATCTGTCTCACGTCAATCAAAATTCCCTTATTACTTCAAATGACCCTAATTTTTGCTTCAGATTGATTCCCATCTTATATTGGGTGTTGCTGGATTGATAATTTCAAGAATTGAACATTTCATATAGCGCCCCTTAATTTAATCCTAATAGTTACCCAACCCAAATCTAAATCTTAATCCTTAGGTATAATTTTCCCATCTTTAGCTTTCCTTGCCATCAAATCTAAGCTGTTTTTCTGTGACTTAACTATCCAAAACTCTGTTGTCCCATATTTCTAATCCACCAATGGTTATCATAGTCATAGAGGATCCATTCCCCCGTGGTCCTACATCAAACATTGGCATTAGAACTGTGGCACTCTACCGCAATAAAAGTTGATAGTATAGACAATAAATTTCTCTTGTATTATCACTTTCAAAAAAAAAAATTCTCTTGTATTGTCATATAATTTTTTTTTAAGCAAATTAAATTTAAGCTGTCCGAACAGATTTTGTGCCTCCAATTGCATCCAACTCATCATGGGTGGGAATGCTGGAAAACCATTAGTAAATGCTGGCATCTGCATAACCTCCCTACAAAATATCCATAATTCTATAGTTTCCTTTGGTGATTTGAAGAATGTTTCAAAATAAAACCCTTTTATTTAATGGCGAAGATAGAGGACTAATGTATACCATACAGTGATTTGATTCTTCAATCATACGTTGGCTACTATTTTGTCTTGTCTTGAGTATGGGCATAAGATTGTTAAAGCCTTGAAATTCATTAAGCAGGATTTATCTGAACTATTAAGTGAATCTCAAGGCTTTGTAATAAGTCCAGAACATGGTTTAACCTATCTCACTTTTGGACACTTTCTAGACACACATCAAAACCAACCCAACTACCATTTCCCCACCCTTATTCCCCCCCCCCCCCTTTCCTGGTGCTTCTTTCCCTTATCCTCTTAGATATGCATTCGTATAACAGACTGTGCTGAGTCCTTGCATGGACTTGACATGTTCATGGTTGGACTGAAGTCCTGGTCGGGTTGCTCAGAGCTCTGACTTAGTTTCTTAATCAGTGCTTTTAGGTGTTAAAAAAAGAAGAAGAAGAAAAGTTGGCATCTTTCATTGAACAGGGGGCATTATTCCCTAGGGCTTCTTTCCATTATTTGACCGGATTTGCCAAAAAAAAAAAAGTTAATGGTTTCCTAGATTTAAGTGAACTTGAAATCCCCATCTTGGGCTGAAAGAAGCGTTGGCCAACCTACGATCAAATTGACCAAAGCCCTCGAGGGGTCAACAATACTTTGGCTGTTTAATTCAAGTGAACTTGAAATGCCCACCTCGAGTGGAAACTATATTGGGGGTTCAATTTTGTGCATTTGAAGGTCAATCTATGACTGGTGATTGATAATAAATTTCATTTTTATCTCAATATGACTTTTTACTATAACTTTAGATCTAGTTTGATTTCTTTGAAGTACTCTAGATCATTACAGATCTAGGCTTCATTTCACGTATATTTGGTTTTTGTATGTCTACCAACAGCTAAATCATGGAACTTTTTCTTCAAATTTGTACTTTGTTTTCGAATAATATGTAAAAATTATTTGTTGAAATGAGAATGTCATATTTTTTAGTTTAGCTTGTTCGTAATTTTTTTGTTTATGTTCTAATTTATTCTTGATTTATCACAAATTAGTTGTAGATTTGTTAGGTTTTTATTAATTGTTCAGTCTTCCCCCACTTCACTCTATATTTTATTTTTTTCAATTTTTTTGGCATGAAATGACTCTCTTTTACATATGTTTGCATGTTTGATGCATATAAGCATGTGAATCCCATCCATATGCGTTCAGGTTTTTGTGCAAACAAGAATATTTGGGATAAAAAGTTTTTGAACAAGCAATTTTTGGGATATCGAAATGCTATTTTTTTTTAACGTGTGTTTGCCTGTCTGATGCTTTTAGGGCCGTCAATCTCCAACAATGTGCATTTAACTTGGGTGCTAATGATAATTTTTGGAGAATAATGAGAATGACTTTGGCTGTGAAATGTTTTGGATTATTCCTTTTCTCTTTACACAGTTGATGCATTCAGGGACATCAATCTCCAACTAAATGTGTTCATTTTGGATATGAACAACGATATGTTTAAGAAAAGTTTTAGAATGAGCAATTTTTTGGGCAATGAAATGCTTTGTGGAATTTTTTCTTGTTTTACATGTGTTTCCACGTCTAATGCATTTAGGGACACCAATCCTCATCCAAACAACACATACAATCTGGGTGCAAACAACAATTGTTTTATCTATAAGCTTTCTATTTTTTTCTTCATATACATGCAAAGTTTCTAATATTTTCATATTCCTCAAATTTCACAGTTTTGCATTGGTTTTGCATTTTTTTTTCTCGTCTCTTTTGACGACTCAAAGACTCTCGCTAAGCCGACTAGGTCCGAGTCCTGCCCTAGTCTAGACCATGTTCTGGGTATTTAAAGTAAACACTGGTTTGTATGTATTCCGGAGTACAACTTGATAAATTCACCCTTATCAATACAAAGTTGCTGATAGGAGAAAGAGGCAAAACATGGTTTTCCATGTTAGATCTCAAATTTCTAGTATCATGAACCATCATTAATGAAGCTGAAACCAACAAAATTGCTACTTAAATGTCACAACTATAATACATAAATTCTATAAGGATTACCAATATTGTATTCCATCAGTTTGTTGCTTTTGAATTCTTTTGTTGATTTGTATACGTCACTCAAACTATTTTTAATGGATCTGCTCATTGATGTCACTGCATAAAAAGTTTCTCCTGCAAAATCTGTTCGTGTGCTTCTAATCTTCTTTAGATGCATCATTTCAGAGCCATGGATTTTATTTATTGGTAGGACCCAAGGGCTTCATGCCCAAGCTTTATGTTGATGAACTAACTATTTCTCTCCTTGTGGACTAGATTTGAAGGAAAAGCTTGAGGCGTCAGTCAATAATCATGAAAAGTTGTTCTTGTTGCGTGGGTTCTTCTTCTGGCTAAAGGTGTTTTACTGATTAACATTCTGCCTTTATTTAAAATGAAAGTATACTATAATACTACGGACTACATCAAATAATTGGTCATGAGGGTCATATCTGTCCCATGAATTGAATGGAGAGAGTAGGGCTCATGACTTATCTGGTGTTTCTACGATCTGTCCATCACTGCCCCTCATTTCATAAAATGGGGATTACCCTAGTTGACCTTTTCTGTGCACTTCTATTGATGCCTTCCATTTCTCTCCTTTAATTTAGCACGTTAAGATGGTCTTAATGCAATTGATATACTAATAAGGATCTTAGGCTATTCTTAGCATTTATCTCTTAGTCCACTTCAAAGAAACCTAAATGTAAACTGCTTAGAAAACTTGTGAAGAATAAGTGAAATTATTCTATGATTGAAAGGATTAAGATTTATTCAGTTGATGTGGGGCCAAATGACAAATAACATCATACAAGTAAAGAAGTCCAAAAGAAGCATTTAGACATACATAGTTCCAGGCCTACCCCAACAACATGAACCTTATGCAAATGCATTGACACTGGATCATCAAATTTATAGTTTTATGCAAACTTTTCTTACACAAATTGAAACTTCTCATCTAGCAAGATCTTAATAATATGGTCATGGAAAGAATCTAGCCAAGGGTGATAAGATATCCAGCACTGTTGTTTATTTGCTATCAATTCTGCTATCACTTATCAGCATATTGGTTGCTGAAAAGCCTCCCAAAAAGAGGCTTTTGGCGTTTTCTTTACATCTTTTTTTTTGGGGGTAGATCAGCACGGAAGGGGTCGCCTACTTGTGGTAGGAGGATGTGGTGGTTGCCACCACCCTGATCACCAATGCCTTGAGACCATTCCTGATTCTGGTCTTGCATCTTTCTTTGCTCTTTCTTTCCTATCACTTGATAGGAGGTGGGAAGCTGAAACCTCTTTGGCATACATTTAGCATGAAAGACGTGCTGCTCATCTTTCATGCTAAATGTACGCCATACGGGTTTCAGCTTCTGATCTTTTATCAAGTTACAGGACAGAGAGAGGACTGATATTTTATCGAGTTACAGGAAAGAGAGAGGAAAGAGCCTCACATCAATTGTTTGATGAAGCTGATCTGGCACCAAAAGAATACCATTCCATATGTAGTTTTTATAAGGAATTTTATCATGGCATATTTGATACAGCAAAGATACACTTGATATTGAGAAGCTTGCTTTCTCTTTGCAGAATCTCTGCCATCCACATGCCTTTATGCCCTGGAAAGAACCTTCACTTTACAAACAAGTTTATTCTAATTGCTGAGTTACTGTGGAAAACTTTTATCATGCATTCGTGGTGAGCCTTTCTTCTCTTTGCTAGCTGTCTTTCATTGGAAATGAAATCTATTTGCAAGAGTTTTGGAAGTTTATATGTGGCTATGTTCAAACCTGGATACCTGTATATGTTCCATTTTGATTCCACAACTCACCAAAACAGGGCATGGGTATGGTTGCAAAATTGGCAGATCTGGTTAACCTGAGCCTTAAAAACCCTAGAATCTTATAATTTACTTAAAGCCCATTTTCTAGAATTGACCCAAAACCTAAACGCTAATCTATGCCAGACATCGCCAGAATTTGGTCTTCAAAGAATATGTCTTGCCTTAAAACCCAAGGCTTTAAGAAGAAAATATGAAAAAAAGCTAGAGAGATGAGCATCTTGGTATGTTTCAGTTTTTCCACTGTAAAGTCACATGTGTTACATGTTTGTGATGCTCCAGCTAAACCTGTTATCTGATTCATGGCAAATGATTTCAACCGTGTTAAAACTACTTCAATTCTATGGAGCTTTCTTTTGGAGACCTTTTAAAGTTCGGTCATTCTAGAAAGTTGGGCTTTAAGGGTATGTCCCATTAGATTGTTTTCTTTTTATATCTGTTCCTTTTATTTTTTTGGCAATGTAACTTTATCTACTTAATACATTTGAATTTTGTTGTGCTCTTTTCAACTCTTTTTGTTTTTTGTTTTTCTGACTACCGCACATTGATAGTCACGAGTTAACTATGTTCTTTTGGAGTTCTTATAGTCACTAGGTTTTGGATCAAGGGGGTTGGACACCAACTTTCGATGGGCTTCAAACCACTCGAGAGCCTTGTAACTTCAGCCCGCTCAAGCGTAGCCGACACCAAATAGTTGGGATAAGGCTCTGATGATGATGATGATGATGATTTTTGGATAATTTGAAATTTATACAGAGAACATCTTTAGCGGGCATTGGACACCTCATGTCCCAATAATTCATACCATCATTGAATATACATCTTTTTGTGCAAAAGTAACTGTCAAACTGGTCTAAATTATTTATTTTATATTTTCTTTGCGCTCCATTGTTTTGTTGCAATGCAAGTTTTCTCTTTTAATTTGGTTAAGGCTAAGGTTTTGTTAGGTCCCCATCCATCGTATTCCTATGACATAATATGTTACAATAGAGTTCAGGATTGGGTTCCTACTTGGGGAAGGACATTCGTCCTTCTTCAAGAGATGTACACAATTGCATGAGTCTCCACCTTGCAGGGGTGTTCACAAGCCCCAATAATGTAAAAGAGGCCCCAAGAAAGGAAAATAAGGCCCTCAAAACAATATCCCACCTTTTTAGTTTTTTAATCTACACTCGAGTAGTTCTCAGGAAACCGAAGTTTGGAAGGTTACAATCTTCATGGATGATCCTGTTCAACCATAAAGGAGCTTGTTCCCATTCATAGGTTTGAGCAGAGGATCGCTAGCAGCTGAAAAAGGTAAGTTAGCCTACTACTCTATTCTTCCCTAAGAATGAGCAAAGGATAGTTCTATGAAATTGTGTTGTGCCTCTTTGACTGGCACTATTAGATGGGAGAACTTCTATCCTAGCCTAGATTTCTTATGCCATGGCAATTTAGAGTCTGATGCAGTCAGTGGGGTGGTAAAGCCCCTACTTATGGCCTTTTGGAGGCCTATGTGTATGAAAATCAGTTCAGTGTGTTTCCAACTTGTATGTGGGTTGGGAGATTTTTTTTATTGTTATTTTTGGGTAGCGTGGTTTTGAGATTCAAACCCAGAAACAAAAAGTTGGTTATGGCTCTTAAGTGCTTACATGCATGGAAGCCTTTGTGGACCAGTTGCATTGTACGGTGTTGTAGCGAATCGACTGTGAATAGTTTTTGTAGCTTCAAGGTTTTTACCTTTTTGGACTCCTGTTCCCAATGGGTTAGAACACACTTTTGGTGGGGACTTCACCTTTGCTTTAGGGTTTCAACACCCATAGACCAGACATAGTCCAGTAAACCTCTTCCCAATCTTCCATGAGCATAGGACTAGTTGGTGGTGATAGCATCCATTGGCCAAACACTAATGACTGGACATTAGGGTTTTTTGGGCATCAGATCGAGGGTTGGGATTAGCTCGAGTTGGGTGCAAATTTGGAGAATTAGCATCAGTCGTGTGATATCAGAGTTTTAGATTATCTTGAGGGAGCTTTGTTAGCGTTGAAGTATTGTTGGAGAGATATTTGCCTTAACTGAACGAAGAAGTCTTTGAGTGATCATTAGAGACTAAAGTTGGCCCCAACCCGGACCCAAACCCAAAAATATAGTGTGGGGTCCGGACTCAGACCTGAACCTGACCGGACCGGACCCAAAAATAAAAATACCTATGCATTTAATTATATTTAAGTATATTTTATATATTGGGACCCAAAAAGCATTACCGCACCCAAATCATGACCTGGACCCAAATAGTGTTCAAGTCCAAGATTTGGACCCAGACCTGACCCACCAGGTTGGCTCCAGGTCCATTGCCACCCCACATGGAGGGTTGTATGAGTTTCTAAAATGCCCTCCCTTGGTTCAAGATTACTGGGGTTCTTTTCTTCATTTCTCCATCTGTCAACCCGTATTTTGTCTTGCTTTTCTTCAGCTGCGTAAGTTGCTCTGAGGTTTAGTTGTTTAAACCTTGGAATCTCTTCACTTCTGCTTGGGGTTAGCTCGAACATGTCCTTAAAACCAAGAGAGAAAGGGGGATGAGTAAATATTTTGCTTTTTATTACCTTAGGTAGATCTAGGGCTGGCAATACGCTGGCTTGTCTTGGCCCTAGCCTGGCCTTAGTCCCTATGTGGTGGACTTTAGCCCAGACTGACCTTGATTAGGCCAAAGTGGCCATGGCCCAAGCCATGCCTTGGCCTTGTTTAGGCCGTACCAGGTCAGGCTAGGCTTAATATACTCAAAGAAAATATAAGAAAAAGAAAAACTAAAGAAAAAAATTGGGCCGAATATAGTTGGGTTGGACAGGGCCAGCCCTGTTGTGGCCCCGGCCCTCAATCGATAGTGGTTTATGTGGCTTGGGCCCAGCCGGGCCATCGGGCCCATTGCCAGCCCAACATAGTTGTTTTGGCATTTTTGCAATAAGCTCGTTTTACAAAGGGATTATATACTATTAGGCTATTTATATTTGATGCAATGAGATTACAAACATTCTAGTCGGATGTAAAATCTAATTGCTTAAGGTGTGTGGCAAAGTTTTAAAAAATTTCTTTTGGGGCATTGGGATGGACTAATGACACATCCTACCACCCCGTTTCACATTTAACAGTCAGAAGGGATTCTAATATCCTTGTTTCAAAAGTATTCGTGTTATTTTGTACTTTTACTAAGAAAAAGTAGAATGCATATGAATAGTGTGTGGAACATCTATCATTTAATAGGAGAATAAAATGCTATTAATAAAAAATTGGAGGTCTTGGCAATGGATTGGGCCTCGGCCCAGCCACCCACGGCCCTGGCCCATAACAATCCCTTTCGAATTCAGAAACTAACTTTGCAAACTCTTGTTAGATTGAACCTCCAGAATTTGTCTACAAGATTTGAATCTTTTCTCATATTGCTTTGAATCAAGTTATGAAACCATTTGAAACATTCGAAGACTGAATCTTCTTAGAAGTTCAAGTATGGCATCATCCAAAAACGAAACAAAAGATTCCCAAAAATAGATTTAGAGGTGCAGGTCCCTGGTCCCCATATGGAGCCAAGGATGCCCTAGCCTTATCACAACCGGCTTATCCTTTTGGGCCAAATAGAATGGAAGAAAATAGAGGAAAAAATAAAGGGAAAAAAGCGCTAGGTCGGGCTGAATTGGGCTGGCTCTGGTCCAGGCCTGGCCTAGCCATGGTTCGGCCCTTGGGCCACATTCTATGGCCCATGCCGTAGTTTTCTAAGGCCGGACCGACTTGGTAGGGCCGGACCACCCAATCCATTGGCACCCCTAAAAATAGGAAGAGATCCAAAAATAAGTTTATAGAGTTTGATGAAAGACGTACATCTTTTTACTTGAGGAAATTTTAGGGAAATTTACAGAAGAGTTTATATAAGGTGTCAACCGTACGCTATAGAGGTGCGGTGTATGTCAATAATCCATTGGGAAAAGTTGTTTTGATGCTAGAACTCTCGCAATTGATGATTTTGACATCAAGATGTCTAGATATTGAAAAAAAAGAAGATTTCAATTATTAAAAATAGTACATCTTGTAACATAAAAAAATAAAAAAATAAAACCTAAAAAATAATACATCTTGTTGCACATTATCCAAATCGTTCTTTTCGAGATTTTCAAATGTTTACCGATCTGTTCAATCTACACTATTATTGGAACTTTAAATTTCATAACCAAGGGTAGAAATAGATTTGCAAGCCATCTTTAAGGGTTTTTGGCATCAGAATTGCATCTTTCGATAGGGTTTAGAAGTGCATCTTATTTTTATTGTTTAAGGTGTGCATCTTATAGAAACCCCACTTCATATACAATTGCACCTAATTTTAACTATTTAACATCTTACCTATTTTCAACTATTCCAACTCACTATCATGAATATTTTATATTTTTTGAAAATAAGTAAAAAGATATGAATAAAATGTTAGATAGTTTCTCTTAAGTTGTTTTGATAAATTTCGCTTTTATCCTCATGCCCTTATTCAATGAAACAAAGGCAAAGTTCCGATGTAAGGTTCACATCTGGTTAAACCATTCTTTTTTTTTTGGTAATTCAGTGGGAAAGATAAGCACCATAACCGTTTTTTCATATAAATTAAAGAGTTAGCCTTTTTTTTTTTTTAAGGTGTCAGTGGGCGGTGTCAGAAAGAATGGACTAGGTACATCTCACTTCACTTGCTCTCTTTGTGAGTACAAAATGATCACAAGGTTCTCATATGAGCAAGCATCAGTAATTTAGTTGGGTTTATTGTGTATAGTGCACGGAAAGCTTCAAATCCCTTATTTGATTTGGGACCACAGGTATCACGTAAAGTCTATCAAGGGTTAAGAGAAGAAAAGTCAATGCATGCACCTGTCTCTTTTTCTTGGTGTCCCGAGAATAAGAACCGGAAATTAATTGGCATGCCCCAAAACTTGAATCAAAACTTTTGGATTTTGTTGCCATTGATGCTTTTGGGCTTGAAATTTATGTTCAAAGTCCAAAGCATTCAAGTTTTGGTTATTTTATCCAACTAGCTTTCTGAGGCTTACTTAATAAGCAGTGATTAGTGCATACCAGTGTTTCCAAAGTCGCTGAGCTAGCTTGGAGCCATCTACGCGGTTTTGGAACCAGTGGGGACCTTTCTGAGTCCCCTGAAATTGGGACTTCAGCGAGTTTCAAAAAAACAAAAAGAAACAACCAAACAAGAAAGGAAGGCTTTTCTTTCTCTAAGAAAAGTTGAAAAATAAACTGTTCCTCCCCCCTTCGGACCCTTTTTCATCAAATTCTTCACATATTGTTCTTCTTCTGTTCCTCTTTCAGTCCACGAAAAAGAGTCTTTGATCAAAACCAATTTTTTGCAAGAGTTAGAGCGCAAAAACTCACTCATTCCTTTAGGGATTATATCTAAAGAGACTATTTATCTTTTGTATATTGCGATCACGATCATTTTTGTCCTTTAAATTTCACAATGGGTGGTTGTAAAAGTGTTATTGAATAGATACAAAGTTAAAAAAAAAAATCTCAAACTTTGTGACTCATGCCAAGCCATCCAAATTATAATGAGTATAAATGATTGCGACCTCCATGTATAGATAAATGGCCTCCTTGTAGACGATCTATTTTTTTTTTTTTTGCTTAAAACCTTTGATCTACAATTCGTTTTAGGGATTTTATATATAATGAGACAATTTACCTTTGATACAAAAAGATGACAATTACTTAACACCATTCGATGTGAAATCTGATAGCTTGGTTGTGGCACAAATTTTGAGGAATTTGTTTTTTTTTTAACTTTGAACTTGGTCAATGAAATAAATGCAACCACCCAATTTTACATCCAATGGTCAAGATTAATTGTGACCACCTTATACTT